GGGGGGGAGTGTCGATAAATTATTATTAGAATCCAACCACCGCCAAATGTGACAGTCTCGTCGCGGCATGAATCATGAATTACGGTAATGGATAATAAGCCGGGTGAAGTTAATATTACAGGGGTGCAATGACTCGCGGGACGATTACCGAACACCTGAAATGGGGGTAGTGGGAATGAATACGCTGGAGGGAGAGAGAGAGAGAGAGAAGGAAAGACAGGGAGAAAGAGACAGTGTGAAATTCCTCGGCGGTAAAGTAGAAAGGAAGTAGAAGGTCGGCAAGGGGATGAAAGTGGGTGGGAAACTCGAGCAACCGAGGATCTGTTTACATCACGGGGGGTGTACTTGGTAGTTTAATTAATGAGGGGCCGCTTCGATTAGTTGCAAGGACCGAGAACGGGATCTACGTACGAGGTCACGGGAGGTCACGCTGGATATACGTCTACTTACCTAACCCAGCTGATAAGGGAGGCTGAGGGCGAAGAGGAGAAAAGTGGGCACAGGGGTTGTTCGGCAGGGGTTATCAAAATTGCACCGTTAGGTAACGAGCGTCAGGCAAATATATATGTAATTACGATATAAGTACTCACCTCGACGAGGGTTATGAGTATGATGAATAACGGCGGCGGGCAGCAGGTGTAATGATCCGCGTAGTACTTCCGGTCGCGTTCTTCCGTGAGGAACTCGTCGCCGATCATGCGGACCATCCTGTGAAAAAAAGACGAAGAGTCCGTGAGCATGATAAGGATGAAAGAAAAAAGACAAATATCGGTTCAACGTAGCAGCAGTACCAACGGGGCCCGACAGAGGGACACGGCGAGTGTTCCTAAAGTCGAGAAAAACAGTGGCGAACTTCCTTACCGGTGTACCAGGACGATCGAGGTTAGCGACTGGTACAAGAATGTCTTCGTGGCTGATGATGATGACCCAGAAGGAAGTCCAGGTCCTCCACGACGGTTACGTCAAGGTCCGCGTGGACGAACTCTAGGTCCCGCGTCTCGAGATTAATTCATTAACTTCGACGCGCCGGGTTAACGTCACTTCCGGCGATTTTAACTCGTCGAAGGAAGCCCCGATCGCGATCATTAATCATTTGCCTTGAGTCGCGATATAATGAGGAATTAATGTACGATCTACCGGGTGTCGAGGTCGACGAGGAAGAAGTCACCTAGTTTCCTTTTCTGGCTACGGCTACTCTGCAACCTATATGACTCTGCGTGAGAGTCTTCCTGCATCCAGGAGACCCAGCCTAACCTGAGAAATCAGCACACCAGACAGACTGTGGACCATCGGGAGAGTGGGGGAGGGAGAGCCTTTAATCCATCTCTATCGACAACCTTCATCTCTCTCTCTCTCTCTCTCTCTCTCTCTCTCTCTCTCTCTAACTCCCTAGACTCTCCTCTCTCTCTCTTTCTACCTGTCCGCTACTCCGCTCTGCCTCTCTATCGCGTCACCGAGGCATGCACCCAACCCTAACCTAACCTACCTGTCTGCCTACCTACCACACGCAGGACACGTGGAGCACGTGCCAGGCGATAGTCGTGCCGCTCCCCACGAAAACTTAACAAGACTAGACTGACAGTGGCCAAAGGACCCAACGAACCGAAGGATCCTGAGAGCGATAGACTGTATATATGCTTCCTTATTGTATCAAGTACAGTAAGTATTACTGTAGAGTGCAACATAGCTAAGAAGCTATTCCAGCATGCTATACGTATACACAGTGAAAATGAACGTACTCCGAGAGCTGTATTTTAATTATTTTTTTCTCTCGCAAGAAAATAAGATGAAGAAAAAAAGAGAGATAAAAGATAAAAGAAATAAGTATAGAAAATTCCACGTGAATAATTTCACCTTTGAAATTTTTCGCGCAGGGATAATGGATTCGATATTTCTTGAAAAATCGCTTTGTATCGGTGATGCGTTTGCGCGCGCTATATGTAGAGCTACTGCCGCACGCGGAATATAGTATCGTACTATACAGGGAGAAAATAAATTTAGGTAATGAAATAAATAAGCAATATTGAGATGATCGATCGGGGCGGAATAGCCGTACGGGGATATGAAAAGTAACGAAGGGGTAGCAAGGGGTTGCGGTTAAGGGATGCTTGGAACACCTGTACCTATCGCTTTTGGTAATCCCGAGGGTAAAGTGGCTGGAAGTATACTAGGTCTGGTATAGTCATATCGGTACGTAAAGGGGCGAGCACGTGTATCGTCGATATCATGTGTCGTGTATCGTGTATCAGGGAATAAAGACAGTAATCTGTATGGAGGACGACACATTTTATATATATATATTCCTGTTCCTTCCTGTTTCTAAGCGCCTCGCGGCTGCTACGGATATAGCCGTCGTGTCCCTCTTCTTCGTCTTTTTCCCCCGTCTTGCTCATGGAAAAAAAGTCCCATTAAAATCTAACGAGAAATTCGTAAGAAAAATTACCGTGAAGAACTGTATAAGCACGGGACAAGTGGGTATCGTCGTAATAAATCAAAATAATTTTTCAGCTAGTTCAAATAAAAGTTGCAGCACGATAGGTGAAACTTTACGGTGCGCACAGTAATCATTTAAAATTCATCATTTTTAGATAGTGCACGGTATGAAAAGAAATGAGAAATGAAAAAGAAAAACAGATAACCAAATCGCGGTCGCAAATCGAATTCGAACGTTTCGGTTTAACTTTAGTGCATACGGTAAAGAATTTTGAACTACATGGGATTTAAGAATACAAATTGTATTTTTTTTTCCCCCAAAAAAGCTGATTATAAGCAATAATAAACATTCATAGAAAAATTTATTTTTTATGTATACGATAAAAATTGTTTAGACGAATAGTTAAGTTGTACGATGAACAAAGCATTAATTTGGTTTTTAAAAAAACATTCCGCTTTCCACAAACTTACGAACGGCAAAGTAAAATTTAAGTGAAAAATTGATTTTTCAGAAGTTTTTTCTAACGATCGGACAAATCGAACCCTATACTGTGTATAAAACTTGCAATTACGTTAAAAATGTTTTTTCATTGCTTTGCATTAAATAATTCCGATATTTCTAAGTAATACTTATCAAAACGTCACGTTATCCCTGTTGCCGTGATTTTCACGATAACTTTTTTATGAAAATTCACTCCATGCTTCTTCAAACCAGCTCGTGCCAGTTACACTCAGTCGCTCGTGATAGCCTTCAGTTTTTTTGTCTCTCTCTCCCAATATATCTCGGATACCCTTTTTTTTTATTTATTCCGTTGGGTTGCCTGTACGCTTCCCAGACACATAGCTGTGGCAGGGAGACCACTTTGCCATAAACTATTGATTGCCCTCCAATGAAACTTTCCGAATCGACTGACCAATTTTACTTTTCCCTCTCTCTCCGTCTAGCGTAAAACTTTGAAAAAAGAAGAAAGACATACAGCGAGCGTAACGATAAAGTTGACAAACGGACTACAACCGAAGCTACAGACCTGTATAACGTACGTGCAGATCGACTTACCGGTGCGTATACCGTCGCCATACGAGAAACAAGGAGAAAGGAGAACACGGCACGCGAGAAAGCATGGAGATGCCTATCGTCGGAAACGTACAATAATTAACAAGAAATATTGGCCCGTTATTCATGCTCGCAATCCACATAATATCTAGTATCGCTTACGAGTTAAACTGTGTCACGCTTAAAGCGAGAAATTATTATCCTATAGTTTTAACTGTCGCCGGCACGAGGCGACCGTGACCCGCGCATGCGCAGTAGTCTAGCGTAGTGCGACGTGATTGGCTCACTGATCATTATAGTACGGCAAGCCGCCGCGAGGTATCGTACGTAAACAGTCCAGTGTCACCCGACGCTCCGCTTGCGTTCGTAACTTTTTTTACCGTGTCTTTCGATACCCTCCTACCTAATCCCTACGTATTTACAATACCCAGCACCCGCGACGTAACGACGTAGCGAACGTTCGACGTGAAAAAAGAAGGCGAATACGTTTTTCCCTCGATTCTTCCGTCACTCATTACTTTTTCTCGATCCTTCCACCGTCGCCAAACAGCCCCGTCGAATAAACGATGGAAAGGAGTAATGCGACCAAGGAACAATAGACTCAGTGTCCCCGAGTCAGCTACAACAATGAGAGATAATTCCATTGTCTTCGAACCCTTACCAGGGAACATTATGTCTGGGCTTCTTTCTTGTTAGCCTTCGCGACAAAGAGCAACAATATTATCAAAAATTGTGCGGGAGTTTTACCAAGCTTGAAATATGTAACTGAGGCCGATTCCCGTCCACCCGTCGCCGGAAGCAGTACCACACGACCGCGCATGCGCAGACTGTTCTGAGGAAAGGTGCAAAGTTCGTATTTTTTGGTGTAATAAAATACATAGTGAGCAGTCAAGTTAAAGTCGCGTAATAAATAACCGATTTGATACACAATGACTCTTGCAGTCCCTTATAATTATTTAGAGTGGATACAAAGAGAGAGGAAGAGAACCTCTTTTTTTTCCCCATTGGAAAAGTCATGACCTTTTTTTTTATGGAATCCTCTTTTCCCTGCTTTCGCAACATCCTTCACCAGGCGGATGCACAGCGTCGCGACATATCCCTCTCAAGCCATTATCGATTTCCACGTTATTTTCAGGGCCTACCGCGTGAAAAAGTTTTACCTAAGTCATATACGATTTATGTATAATGGATATATAAGAAAGGGTATGTACAATCTTATATGACGTATAATTTTTATATAAATGAACCCTCGCGTTACTATCGTATTAGAGACAAAATACGCCGCCGCCTCTACTACTCGCCGTTTCATTCCCTAACATTAGACAACTTCACGTCAACCAAAAAAAAATAGTGCAACTTATCGCCGTCAGAAGACACACGGGGTACAGGAAAATTCTCCATATAAAAATTCGTCGTCAAAATAAAAATTCAGCGGATGCCGAGAATCAACACTGAAACTGCAGTACGAAAATTATTGTATATCACATTTCGCGTCGTTGAATATCCAAAGTTTCGATGAAAATTTCAAACAGAGACGTCCTTTGGACAGTTCCAGACTGGCGGTAATAAAAATTTTTATATTTTTCTCAAATCCCACAGAAACCCCAATTCCTCTGAAGATCGTCAAGTCGTAATGCATAATAAAAAGCCAATGCATTCGACAAACGTCTGATTATTCGAATCGGTAAATATTAATATTTTACATATATAAACGTCCATATTCACAGCATATAACCAATATATACACAAATATCTAAATAATATATATAAAACTTTTTCACATTCATAAGCTCATAAAACTAAGGGGGCGCACGAGGGATAAAGCGTAGTGGCGGCGCCGTCGCCGATATCTTTTATGTGTTCAAGCACGCGAGGAACCTGCGTGTTTTTATATCATCCTGAAAATTTCCACGAAAAAAAAAATGACACTTTTTCTTCTCGTACACAAAAACATACGTACAAAAGGACGCGGAAGTCGCGACGCCCAAAAAAATTTTGGTAAACGCTCGGATAAACTCGTAAGTATATTTAAAAAACACGAGGAAAAAAAAAATTCTCTCCTACCCTCAAGACGATATTGCGCCATCCGATGTCCAAGGGGATAAGGCAAAAGGGGAATTGACTCCTCCTGGAGGAGACTCATTGTCAGCCCTGTCTGGCGCGTGTCCCGACTAGATATTAGATGCCATACGAGAGTACCTATAGGTATCTACATACATAT